TTTTCTTTGGGCAGATCATGGTCCGTGTCACTAAGTCACACGTAAAAATTACAAGCAATATTTCCAAGTTGTTTTAAAAATACATAATGAAGGTTTTCGTCCTAAGTTTATTCATTAAGTCATTGTTTGTTTGCCTCAAGGTCTTGCATTAAGGTCAAAAATATGTAGATTATCACCAAGACATGCGTGTAACATACAAAAAAAGTCTCTAAGGTATTTATAATATATCTACGGTATAGGTAATTTATCGCCGACTGTCTCGGGCGGTGACTACCAGTTGATTGGTGGCGATTTTGACATCAACCTTCCTCAAAAGCATTGTTGATTTCAAAATTGAGCAGCCGCAAAAATCTTCGCCAAACTCCTTGATCCTAAACTGCGACCCCTTATGTGGGCTGGTAAATGTGATAACAACCTGGGATTTGCACTCCGGCCTTTCAGGTATTAAATATGGAAATGGCACTTCCAAAATTTTGAAACCGAGCTGGACCTTCACTGCATCTCCGACTACTCCCTTGAACACCCCACACTTATCTTTGTGCTCGCCCCTATGGAAATTAGGGTTGGTGTTGATGAGACGAAGGCTCAGCCTCATGTTGGTGAAGCAGTCATCTCTGAGCCAATATGGAGAAGTGGCTGCCATAACGGCCTCAGTATCTATTGACTTTGAATTAAATGCATACTTACCATCATTGCCACAGCAGGGGGTTCGTGAGCTTGGGTTCCAAGCTGGGGTTGTAGGGATATCTTCTGAGTTAGGAAGCGGAGTAGATGGCCCTGCAATGGCCGGAGTCTGCACAAGGAAAGCAGCGGGATAAGGGACTGATGGTTGCGTATCTGGCAAGGGGTAACCAGGGAACAAGAAGCTTGCCAGAGTACCGGGCGGAGGTGCTGGCTTGAGTGGGTAAGTAAAGTCGGTGAGAAGCTCTCGAGGCCTGGGTGGCTGAAGACTTTCATTGGCACTGGAAGCTGATTAGCAATGATTTCAAAAAATAAGATGAAGCGCTTGCATGATTTTTAGAGAAATAATGTCAAAAACTTGTGGGCGTTGGAGGCGTGCTGTGAAGCATTCACTCTGAACTTCTTGCATAGCTGAAGCCAAGAGGGAAGGAGGAGGCAAGAATGGGTGGATCTGGGATCAACACCCATGAGTGAGCAATGAGCAGTTACAAGATACTCAGCTGGCCCAACATGATTATGCATACTGTAGGAAGTACAGATATACAAAGCACTACATGTAGTGCAAGAGGATGGCAAGACTGCTGACAAGATGGTGGTTCAAGACAAAAGATCAATATATTATGTAAGATATCCAAATCTAGCTATATACCACTGTTTGACTATGGCCTCTGGGCATTCCCTTCCAATCCTATATCACACGTGCCTTGAGCTCGACCAAGACCCTTTTTTCACTGACCGTGCTTTTGATTCTGCCTCGGTAACCTCTAAAATCCCCCTTGGTGACCATTACTTGTTTTCCTACAAGATGACTGTTAGAGTCCCCCTTCATGACACGCTTTTGCGCATCTGTGAAGGGAGCTTTCAATTCCGAGGACTCTGTTCCAAAGACGAAGGGGGAGGTGAAGAACTGGACAATTCCCGGAGATACCTCTATCTAAAGGATGACAGAATGTAAGAAGTATAATATAACAAAAAGCAAGACATTTACCTCTGTACCAGTCCTGTCATTGAAGACGCACACATAGTCCTCGTCTTGATTCACTACCCAACCCATAACACCTTCGTGGTCTCCCAAAAGAATGCGGACTTCATCTCCTGCTTTGAGATCTTTTTGAAGGGACGAAAAGGGTACAGTGGTTGTTACATCCTCCATCGTTAAAGAAATGACGGCTTCATTTTCCATTATATCCTCAATCGTTCCAAAAAGCCCCCTCAAAGCTCTGTGAGTGATTTTCACCCCGTCGCCTATTCGAAGGATCCCGGCTGACATTCTCACCATTGTGTGCTATCGGACGCTGAGTGAAATGTCCGAGCAGGTGCTAAAAAGCTCAAATTCCCTTGATGTCGGTACTACATCTTCTGTGGTGTACCAATCCATGTTGACTTCCGAGAAATATGCATATCCATCAGCATTGTACAATACTCTGTGGAATAAGTACAAGCTGTTGCACTCTTGAAAAGCCCGATGAAACCGTTGCTTCTCCAGTGTTGGATTGAAGAGGGCTTGGGGAGGCTGCTCTGGTGCTTTAGCTCTTCTATTTAGCTCACAATTGGGCTTGTAGGTGGCTGTGAACTCGTCGTCTGTCTCATCATTTCGGTCATCAGCCAAACTTTTGTAGTGAAAAAACTGGACATTACACACTTTTGTAGTGAAAAAGGCAGACATCAGTAAATTTTGTAGTCTATGTCTGACTTTTGTAGTCTTTTGTTATGTTTTCTAGTCCATTAGTACATTTTGTAGTCAGTCAGAGTCAATTTCCCATTTAGGGTATATGCCTTCCTTTTGGGGTCAATTTTCCCACAATACAACTATTGTAGCCTCATCTATTAGTTTTCTAAATGTGTTGAAATCATGTTGTTTGGTGATGTTTTCATGGAGAAAAATGCAAAAAAAAAAAAAAAAAAACCGCGGTGGTGAGAAAAATCTTTTACCTCATATCTCCACAACAGGTAAACTTTAGAACATAATTCAAACAGATTCTGGAAGCTACAAAGCAGGGCTACAACTTTGGATTTTGACCATTTTAGGAAATTGGTCATGTGACCACTCCACCAGAAACCCATTGCATGGACCCCTAGCTGTATTGTCATTCTTATCTTGATTTCTCCACTTTTTGGTCATATCCAATCATATTTCCTCTTTTTTATATATACTGTAGACCCTGAAAGCAGTACCTGACATCCTATACACCATTCCTATTTTTAGCTCTCATTTCCTGGCTATTTTTAGAACAGTGAAATACCCAGAGCTACATTTGAAAAATCACAATGAAATATCCAGGGTTACATTTGAAAAATCACAATAAAATATCCAAGGATAGATTTGAAAAATCACAATGAAATATCTGGGGTTACATTTGAAAAATCGCAATGAAATATCAAGGGATACATTTAAAAAACCACAATGAAATGCCCAAGGATAGATTTGAAAAATAGCAATGAAATGCCCAGGGATACATTTGAAAAATAGCAGTGAAATATCCAGGGATACATTTGAAAAATCGCAATGTAATATCAAGGGATACATTTAGAAAATCACAATGAAATGCCCAGGAATACATTTGAAAAATCGCAATGAAATATTCTAAGGTATCAATGAAAAATTCCAATGAAAGGTACAAGGTATCTATTGAAAAACCGCCATTGAGATGGCTTGACAGACTTATGAAATGCCCAGAGAGAATTTCTCATATTTTATCAGAAATCCCAGGCAATTTAATGATTGAAAGGCTTAGGCTCATGTATTGAAATGCCTTTCATAAATATCTCAGTGTTATAGATTGTCGTCTGTAGGCTTAAGTCTAGGTTATATGATAAAAGTGGTAGCCACCAGTCCGCGTATCTCGGTAAAGGCAAGAAAACACATTTCAGTCACCCTGTAGCTAACATGACGTTCAGTCACCCAACTCAAAACAACTTGTCACAAGCACTCAAGGAATTATTTGGAATCAAAGAATCTAATACAGATACCGGAGAGCCATTGGATTTTGGTAGTAGAGAAGGGCACCTGCATGAGTCTCAGAGCGGCGACAATGAATCAGTCCACTCCCATTCACACAAGTCTGTAGACCAAACTCGAAAGGTACAAGGAGGAGGAGGAGGAGGCGATCCCGGAGATTCTGACGGTGACGATAGCAGTCATGGTAAAGGAGGTGGAGACCCTCACAGAAATCCCAGGAAACCGCTAACGCCTAATCATTCTAGAAGAAATCCCTTTGGCGTCGCATCGGATGAATCGAGAGACTCTGCCAGTAAACCACTTCTGGAGCCCCAATCCAATCTAAAGCTCAAGGTGGACGCTATACCAACCTGGGATGGGAATCCAGAAGGTTTGAGACGATGGCTTTTGAAGGTTAACAGTTTGGCTAAAAGGTCTCAGACAGTCTTCAAACAGTTAGGAACACTCATTCCAACTCGACTTACAGGTTCAGCAGAGATCTAGTATTACAGTCAAAATGTCAAAATGTGCGACAGAATTGAGCAAGATTGGAATACTTTGCGCACAGCCATTGGTGAGTACTACATGAATCGTACGTTCCTTGATAAACAAAAGGTGCACGCAAATCATGCATTGTACCATGACACAAGCAATGGACGGGAAACCCCTAGCGAATACATTATTTGCAAACTAGAGCTTTTACAGTTTGTATACAACTATACTGACAGAGAATTAATTGACGAGATCATGGAAGGGGCCCCCTCCTATTGGAACTCCATCATCACTCCACATTTATTCCAGGAACTCCAGGAATTTTGACGATCCATCAAATTCCATGAAGACTCTCTTATTAAGCTGGGAGGAGGAGATAATTCCTTCAATAAACCTAGTGGTCAGTATTCTAAGGAGAGCTCTCAACGCAGTCCTTATAATCCGTTTGGGAATGCACACGTTAATCTGGTCAGATGGTCTAAAATCACCGCTAATCCCCAATTTCCCAAGGACAACTCCAACGTCTCACTGTGAGGAACACCAGAGGAGAAGGGAGCACAGCCTTGTTGTCATTGTGGCAGTGGAAAACACTGGGACAACGATTGTAAGCACACAAGGAAAGGGGAGAAGTGAGCAAGGACTAACATGGTGTGATATAGGATTGGAAGGGAATGCCCAGAGGGAGGTCTTTACGCTGCCACTGCTTTTCCGAGCGGACTCCGGCTGGACTCTGTCGAACTGAGGGTATGCAGAACAGATATTTTTCTGCTTTGCAACTGCAGCAAATTTTCCGGTGAATGTCCGAAGCTTTTCCGAGCATTTTTGGTCAGACTGAAAAGTCCGACAGACTTTTCCAACGGACTTCCAATGGACTAACAGCAAACTAGCAGCCAGTCCACTGGAAATGACCAGCAAGTGCCAATGGAATTCCAGTGGACAAATCCAACAGAAGTCCAACGGAATTCCAACAGAGTGTTGTTATTATTATTAATATAACATAAAAAAATGCAACATCAGGGAATTGAACACTCAACCTTAGGATCTGAGGCATATGGAACACAATGCTAAACCAACTGCACCAAGGTGCCTTTGATATAAGTAAGTACTTGATACTATACATACCTACAGTTTGACTGCTTTCCTAAAATGGTCATCGGGAAACACCGACACATCATTTTGCCATCGTCAATGATCCCACGTCGCTTGTCCTCAACCACATCCATCCCCAGCAACAACAGCCCACCGACCCACAACAACACAACACGCAACGTGGATGGCACAACAACACAACAACATGACGACAGGACGACGCAACAACAACAATGCGACAATGCAATGACGTGACAACAACAACACGACAACGCGATGACGCGACAACGATGACACAACAACGACACAACAACATGACGACGACGACACAATGATGTGTCAATGACACGCGACGTGGACGACACAACGACAAAGGGAGCAGCCACCACCCACGACATGCGAGGACAACAACACGAGAACGACAACACAACAACACAACAATGATGACACGATGACAACAACATGACAACATGACAACATGACGACAACGATGACATGCGAGGATAACGACACGACACATGAGGACAACGACAAAACACGCAACGTGAGGATGGCGACATGACACAACGCAGCGACACGTCAACCATGCACGCCAAGGGCCATGTGTGAACGGGGATGAGGGCCCAGCACCACCATTCCCTCCCCCCTCCATTACTCACCATTCCCTCCCCTCACCATTACTCACCACTCCCTCCCACCACCCTTACTCCCCTCCCTTGCTGCTCACCACTCCCTCCCCCCTCCCTTGCTCCCTCCTCCTCCCTTACTGCTCCCCACTCCCTCCTCCCTTGCTGCTCACCATTCCCTCCCCACTTCCTCTTCCCTTGCTGCTCACCACTCCCCACTCCCTCCTCCTCCTCCCTTGCTGCTTACCATTCCCTCCCCCCTCCCTTTCTGTTCCTCCCCCCTCACTTTTTGTCCCTTCCCCCCTCCCTTTCTGATCACCACCCCCTCCCCACTCCCTCCCCCTTCTCTGTAACATAGAATGTAGTAAAATAAATTTATGTAGTTATAAAATATACTTTGTTTTTTGAAACCTCAATGTCTTAAGGAATTCAGCATAAGGTCTGACCAGGGCCTGACTTGTTTAGATTTACTTATAAGAATTGCAGACTGGACACTGAAAGTCTGTTGGAAGTTGTGCCATTTTTGCTTAGAAGTCCATTGGAAGTCCAGT